GTGGCCGGAACGGCCTCTGGAGCAGAAGCTGCCTCCTTTGCCTCCTAATAATGAAAACATCAAACACCAACTACTGCTAATGTGTTTTTGTTGCAAATAAATTATTGTAGGAACTTTGAATATAACTTACTGGTTTTACTTCTTCGCCCATTTCTTAGAACTTATACGAGGATTATTGTAGGAAATTATCCCTGTACTTATAGAGAGGGATGTTTATGGAGGATGAGTAGATAGAGGGAGTATTTATATGAAATGAAACACTTAATTATTAAAAGACGAAGGAGAATTTGAATTATTGATGAATAATGGAAATAATGGAAGTTATAGTATAAGGTAGGAACTAATAACAGAACATAAAGCATAAGAGGTTGATTCCATAGCACATGGCATAAACTAATCATCCAACATATATAGACACCCATTCATCCTTGTACCTTCTATATAGATAATTTCTCACCTTCATTTATGTTTAAAAAAAAAAAATTATTAAAACAACTTTTTTGGTTTTACTTTTTTGCAATTTACCATTTTTTGAAGAGGCCCGGGAACAAGATGGCCCGAGGTTGGTACGTTTTATAGACAAAGAATGTGCATATTCTTTGTTCATTTTACTGGTGATATGCATGTTGAGTGATTTTGACATCTTTTAATGCCATTGTGTTAATTATTGAATTATGGCTCGTTCGGTTTTACGTTTGGATTGGATAGTGATTAGTGAGTATATGGATGAATTCAGTTTTTAGATATTGTTCGTTTCTGACACATTTGTAAATTTTCTTTCCGCTTGTTCCTTCTTTTTTCATGTCATGAAATTGCTGCCAATTGGTACTGCAGCTTAATTATTATTTTTTTTCTTTTCATGGGAGAATGATAACGAGGAAAATTATATAAATAAAAGGAGTGGGATTATATATGAGATAATAATATTTGGTATCGAAAAGGACAATACTTTGCATCATATTCACCGACTTTATTTGATCTTCTTTTTTTTGGCAGCAGATTTGACTGTATTAATAAATTGTTCACCTATTTTATTTTCTGTGGTAATTTATTTATTTTTTCCAAATTACCTTTGCAAAAGTCTACGATAACCCAATGTTTAGTTCGAGAAAAGGATGATACGACGACGTGTCATCATCTCCACCCACTCTTCTTCTTCTTTTTGACTAGTTTTTTATTTATTATTAGTTACATTATAAAGTTGAAAAACTTAATGAAAGTATAATGTTTCTATCTTTAGCTTTGTTAATTTGGTGACAAACCTCCATATCTATATGGGTATGACTGTATGACACTTGTAGAAGAAAAGAAAGGAAAATATTTATTTTTCTTTCAACATTTTCAACATTTTACCAGTTAACTAGAAAACAAAATATTCTCATTTTTTCTAAGACCTACTTGAAAGGTTTTTTTTTTTTTTGTTATCAAACAATTGTTTTTTTTACCGGTAGAAATCTTCCACCTAACAATCAGTAGAAGAAAAATTTATTTTCAGTTTAATTTTTCTACTGTGGACCCAGAAGAAAAACAATTATTCTCAATTCTACCAACAATGCAAACAGTCAGACCCTATATCTTTTTACTCATGATCTCTAATCTTTCTACATTTTATAATTTTTTCATTAAAAACGAAATTTTAATAATGGGGAATAGTGCATCGTGCATTTGGGGGTACTATGTAATTAGGAGTAATATATTTGTTAAAACTTGTCATATACTCAAACACATAGTTAATGTAATCGAAGACACTTGGATTGATCACATTTGGGTAAAATGATTATTTATCAACTGCTAACTTGCTAAGTAGTTACTGTTAAAAAAAAACTTGCTAAGTAGTCCAAAAATACCGGTAATACACCCTTTCTGCCTTTTTAATGTCGGCAATGGTAAATCATTTTTTTTTGTAACGGTAAATCATATTTTATAACACCGTAAGGTGAAAAAAGTAGAAGAACGTTTCAGACAATTATAACTTTTTTGTAACAAATTTACATCTACTATATTACTCTTTTCAACTTTTCAAATTACATGTAAATTTAATCATTTATATTGCATTATTTCCTACACAGCAATATATACATTTTATTGGTTCTTTCACATATATAATCTTGATTATTTCAAACATAACATTTTGGGCACTTTGTGTTTCTCTTGCTTTTAAATGTTGGCGATGATGAATCTTTACAGCGTCGTTACGGGGAGAAGCGTATGAGAAAGTTTCAGAATATTGTAATTTTTATAATAGTAAATCACATTCCTTAATTATTTTTAACTTTTCAAAAAATTACATTTCCATCCAAATAGTTTCAAATGGTACGTAGTGGTTAGAAAAGACAAATCAAACTGTAGTTGTATTCTTTTTATTTTTTTTGTTCAACAAACTGTAGTTGTATTCATTGTATGAAAGGATTGAATAGTATCTTTGTTCGTTAAAGCGGACTTTTTTTTTTTTTTTGAGAAACTAAAGCGGACTTGTTGATTTGATTTATTTCCTTTTAGAAGAAGCATCAAAATCCTTTACCCTCAAGTTTCGGTTAATTGTATTCTCAATACTAAGAACAATCTAATCAGTATAAAAGTCATCAAACTACTGTATATATTTCACACAAAAAACAAACTATAAAATTGGCAAACCCATTTCTGAAGCAATAATATAGGGATGGATTCAACGTGGGGTGCACAAAAAATGGAAAAGAAGAATATTAAAAATATTTGTGGCTTAAAAATTTTAATGTGTGAACTTTTGGCATGCATGATGGAAAGTAGAAAAACCACGTGGGATGCTTTAGATTAAATTTGGACAAATTGGAGATTATGATTAATTAGGCAGTTAAGACAAGTTTTGTAGGAGACCAATAGCAGTTAATTTGTTACTCGATTATGAACTAATGTTACCTGATTATGTAAAGGGAGGTAGTAATAGCATCACCAAATTAATGCATTAGAAATTTAGAATAATTGCTCACTAATTGATTTATTTATGAGAAATTTCAAAAAATGTCACTTTTCAAATGCTATTTTACAAAAATGCTACACTTTTGAAATCTTTACAAAAATACTACTTTTTCAAA